TCTAGTACATTGCACTCTAATAACTGTACATCGCAGTTGCATAAGGCACTTGTGCGAAGTTGTTCATCCAGTAAGGCACAGCTTTTGCAATGCCCACATGCTTTATTTTCGCCTGTAGGATACGGATTTCTTTCGCACAGGTCACGTCTCCATGGCAAATTTTCTAAAACTCGAAACCCAAACACATCCATTTGCAGCATTATTAAATGACAAGCCAGGGGTTCACGAGAAACTACTTTCCAAGATAGATTCAAGTAACGCAATGGCAGCGGCAGTGGCAAGACGTACGTTGATTGATAGTCAGCAGATTGACGACGATGAGCAAGATCAGATACCACCAGAAGTGGAAAACGATGATTCTATACTAAGTGAACAATGAATTCTTTGATTGAGTAATCCTACACCACAACTATAAACGTGTTAGTGAACGACCTACCTACCGAGTTGCCAAAGCACCAGATATTTGTCACCCAAAATCAAAGCGATAATACGTGAAGTCTCTACAACTCGTGTAGAAGATGTGAATATAAGCAGATCAAGCGCGATCGATTCCCGCCGCTAAAAACTATGATAGAAGACGAACAATGAACATAGAAAAAACATTGGCTTGGTTAAGTGCCCATATTCGATCATACAAAGCTTCTCTATATTTGTCATTTCTTTGATGTATCTTCGCAGTATAATGTCTTGTGTGCAACAAGAACGAAACTACTCTAGAACGTTTTTATAGCCATTATGGTCAGTAGTTTCTCGTGAACCGTTGGCGCATCTTATAATTGCACGGGTTTGAGCTTTGGAAGGCTTGCTTTCATGTAACGAAAACGTGATTTTTTTCTCTAAAACGGATAGACATTTTCATAGATGATCCAGTGTTAACTTTGACTCAAAAGTTGTAAAGTTGACGCAAATTTAATTTATACAGTTTAAATCGTTTATTAGACTTTACTTTGTTGATGGTATTCAGATTGACGTATCAAGGTTAACCCGCTATTTTTCGATTTATCAACTCTGGTTTAGGTCCAGAGCATCATAGGCTAAGCGAATTGGTCATTGTACTTGTAAACGGTTATACATTTGTAACGCGTCAACGGGTGTCTCTAAACCTGCAGTTGTATCTCCTTCTCGTTCAAAATCGTGGTACTCTTCTGAGGAGGAGAACATCAGTATGTTGTACTATAAATACTGTTAGTACATTCACTGATGGTGATAAAATACCGTGACGCCATTCCTAATAAAAGATGATAAAACATAAACAATTGCTTTCAGACGCCGCCGTATTGAAAGGCGCAAGGTCCGCGTTGAAAAAGCTCTCCGTGTTGGTTGGGATGATAGTACGAGCGTAACACTTTACTGATCCTTCGGCGATGCCTAGAATGGTTGACTTGCCGTGTCAATAATATCAGAAAGGACATCGTTGTGTGTCGTGGTCGCTGTAAAAGGATTGCTAAAATATGTGTTGCCGATGAAATCCAGTGCTAAGACTACATAAAGTTAAAGGAAATCAAACACTTGCAGGTTCACTGGACGACCATGTGCAATGAAGGCATTGGCGGACAGGTTGTGTCGTTTGCGTCCGACGAGGGTTGTGTGTATCCTCCTGTCCGCTGGATTGAAAACGATATGAAGTGTCGATAACTGGTTTACCGATAAAATGCGTGGGTCAATTAAAAAGAAGTACACCACTAATGCGCGCTAATGGATGGTGACCTTAGCATTACGAAATACGGCGTAGACACAGTCTGAGTATATGAAGCTTAATTCCACGGTTGGTTGCAGGGCGCGGACCATCCAGCACGTAAATGGACTTATATGGCGTTGGTTGTAAGCAATGTATCACCGGAATTGACTACTTGGTACCACTTGAGCATTGTGGAGCTCACAATGTGCGTTAAAAAGGTTTCATGTTTTCGTGAAGCACCAGACGAACCAGGTACCAAAAATCATCGGCTTACGTCGAGCGTAGCCTATCTACGGGTAAGTGTATGATTGGTGCGATTCGTTTGAACCTATTGATCTCGACGGTGTAATACCTTGCTGTACCTTCTGTGTTACCAATAATTGAAAATCACGCTTCATAAGTGGATAAATTGATATTACCAAGATGCGTGGGTCGACGAGTACAACCACGAACCACCATGACGGTTGTGGCCCCAGAGAAGCGGCTACGTCGACGGGATAGTCAAGCTCTTCAGACTCGAGCATACTTAGTTCCTGTGTGTACTCCAATAAGATGAGCCACCAATGTGCCTTGACCTATAGTGGGGCAATGAGAACTGCTGGAGTGTGTTGTGCTATAAATCGATGAAGGACATCCGCTAACATTGGTTCGGGAGTATCTTTAGGCTGACTTCCTTATTCCACCGCTTGTGATAAGCGTGGACAAGATTGTGGTAATACTGTTGTGCAAGCATGTCCGTGGGTGTCTCCGATAAGGGCAGGGACCATTCTTCGTATAGGCGTCGGGCTACTAGTGAACTGAGTGTCCAATTGTGGTTGATTAACCGGCCCACTCGAGCCAGATGATCGGCCGCACAATTGAGTGCTCTTGGTAGATATGCTAGAGCTGCTGGCAATTTGGCCTGAAGACGGTGTACTGATGACGGTGTACTGATGACGCTCGAGCCAACAATTCTTGGTTCATTCGATAACTGCTGGACTGCCGGCGGTGGAGGGTAGCTAGTGCTGTAGTGGAGTCGGCCAGGATAAGTACTGGGGTTTGTGCGTGGAGTAAAAGTTGATGCCAAAAGTGATGGAAAAACGCACTATAGTGCATAACTCTAGTACTGCGATAGGCCAATGGGACTCGCGTAGGAACCATTTCCATGCTGTCGTCCATGTTTGCGAATGTATTGTGAGCGTGCCCTCCACCTCCAATCTTCGAAGCATCCGTTGTAACTGTATGTTTCTGCGGTAGCTGTAGAAGTATATCTCGAAGCGGATGGTTGTCCAAGGTGTAGGCATGTGAAGTTTGTAAATATTATATATATTGGGTTTTTTAATATCACTGCTTTACTTTTGTCTTATAGGAAGGCCACTTGAGATGGGTCGTTTCACGAACCCCGATTGTTGTACGTGCCACAGCCTCGGCCTATGTCTCTGGAAGAACTCTGGTGCTGTCGGGATTATTAAAATTTTGCCGATTCTCTTTTGTGACTCCGGATAAACGCAAACTCTTGCTTCCCCTGTAGACCAGCACGGTAGATGTCTGCGTACTCGCCTGTTTTGCCATGTGTTGCTCTGTGTTTATTCTCGACGAGGATTGGCTGCGGCAATACCTTTGATTCTAATATATTTGCTTTCGCAAATTTAGATGATATCTGTGATGATCTCACAGACTAGCCCTTGGAGAGTTGACAGCTGCTCCTCAATTGTATTACAGGCGATCGCCGATTGGTTGAGACCTCTCAATAAAAAAATAATGTGGTATGATCGAGTAGTTCCTTCTGTACAAGCGAGGTTTCACGTTCGTACCGGCTTGGCAGTACACAAGGTCGAGATCTGAGCCCGACTGGGAATTCTACGTTTCGGCAAAATAAGGTAGAAAATAGCTCGAACGGTTCTCCTGTGCAAATTTCTGACTGTGGTGCAACGCGAGACTGAAACCAATGTGCGAAGACCTGGTTGTTTCTGATGGGATATGAAGTGAAATTCAACAAACTAGATGGATGAGAAGGATCCGGGACAAGATATTCAATGTTACCAAACGATTGTAAGGCGTTTGTTGCAGTTCGAAGAACTGTAGCGGTAGGATCCCGTGTTAGTCCGGTAAACTGTTTTGCAGCTGGGTATTTCGGGCTTGTAAATTGCCTATTAATTCTTGTTGTTGGATGGTATTGCTTAAGTCTTGGTCTGCCATGATCACGATGAGATCTGTTGGAGGGGTAATAAAGTCTACGGCTCACGGTTTTAGACGTGAAGAGGACAGATGGTTCGAAGGACTTTCTGTTCCCTCGCATTTATACCCCGGTAAAAAAGCAAGTGAAGAGTCTTGTAAGGGAATGACTAATAGTCGGGTATTTTTTCACTATCATACATTGTACTATCAGTACTGATAGTACAATCAGTGATAGCGATAGAATACCGTGACATCATTTCTGATACAAGATGGTAAAACATAAATATAGCAGAATAAAATCTTTGGCCATTTTATCATTAAAATTATCCGCTTATTCTTCTCAAGAGGAAAACAACAGAATAATTTTGTTTTTTTACCTGGCATTAGTAGTACTTCAAAATTTTGAATGAGCTATTTAAAGTTCTTATTCCTCGCAGAAGTGCAGTATGTTGTTTTCCTGTGCATGGCAGCGGGACTTAGATTTTAGGATATCAAAATTCTGTTGAGTATGTTCACACCACACCTAAAACGGTTTCAATATTCTGGTAAACCATCGATGGCCTTAATTGGCTCGATTTAATATCCACAACAACTGACACTTTATGCACATAGCACCTTACATTCCGAAAAGGTATGGAGGTGAAACATGGCGCAAACACATGACACACACACACACACACACGCACATACACACATACACACATACACACATACACACACACACACACACACATATATATATATATATATATATGACTTGACTGAATACATATTCGCCTATATATGCACATAAAATGTACTCATAACAGTAAAATAATTCAATACGTGATCTATAAAAACATACACAGATATTGCTTAAATGTCTAACACAAAACTACGTTGTGCGTATATCTGGGCGAGCTAGTGTGTTTGTATCTCCACATCTTTCGAAATTCTTAAGTTTCGGTCAAACGATCAGCGATTTGAAATCAGAAATTGCAAAAAAAGTTTCACTATCAGCTATGCACTGTAAATGAGTTAGGCTCAATTTTAAATTATATTTAAGCAGCCGAAAAAGCAAAAAAAATATGAGGATGTATAACTTTGTATCATCCCACAATGGAAAAGTAAAGGCATCTACTACCCCCTCCAAGGATTTCAGTTGAGGAAGGGATTCTATCTCGTAGTCAACAAAGAATATTTAATAACACTGTGAAGTGGGAGGATACAGTTATATTGACAAACTTGTTCGTATACTTGTAACAGTGCAACACGTCTCCCTGGCGTTTATCAACCTAAGGTTTGACATAGCATTAGACTTTCTTCGCTTGTGGAGAGCGAAGCAATGATAGCAGACTGATGAATCGTACCTTTCTACAACGCGACACAGTCTAGATTCATGTACTCTGAGCATTCGACTTCGCTATACAACATCGCAACCTATTGCAATACGCCTCTATGCACGCGATTCGAAAGCAAACGCACTGATATTCAAGTTTTGATTTTAAACGGGCTTAGTTTCGCACTCCGAGCACTATTAACACTGCCTGGCAGTCGCTGTGGTCTTGGCTTCCCCTTCCCCTTTTTGGCCCGTGTTTGCGGTGCTTTCGCTCGTGGGCCACCGTCGCTGTGCCGTTGCAACAGGCCGCTCAGTACCGCTCTGTGCTGCCTATCCGTAACACTCCCGACGGCTTTCTCCATGCGTCCAAGATAGTCTAACTGCGCACGAGGCTCGCTTCTTGCTTGCTCCGCGGTCGACGCCGAGTGCTGTTCTATCCGAGGGGTTAGTTGAGCTCCATGAGGTGTCGACGTCCCTCTCTGTCCTGGCACGTTTGACAGCGACTGCGATGGTTTCTCCGTTCGTATGCAAGCCAGGGTGGTCTTCAGCAGCTTCAGTGCAAACCTAAAGACCAGCTCGAGGGACGTGGGTGACTCAAGACTTTGCAGCACAAAACAGACGGCCCCCACAAGGTACACAAGATCATCCACAGGAACAATAGAAGGGCCCGTGCGCATACCACGCGTGTGATCGGCCTGCGAGGCACTGGTCATTGCACCGACCTGGCTGGGCCGGCCAATTGAATGGGAAAGCTCGTCACTCTCGCCTGCTGTGGTCCGAGTATTACCGCAGGAGTGAGCAGCATCAGCGACATGTGAAGTCTTGTCTGCTTTAGCCATCTCGTTGAGTGCGGCGGTGTTGTCAAGCTGTGTAGTATCACTGGTCTGTGCATTCTGGCTTGGGTTTGGTTGTGCGCATGGGAGTGGATGTTCATGTGATGCTTCGTGTGTTTGTTTCACACTTATAAGTCCTAACGGGTTCATATGGGCAGACGACAAAACTTCAGTTCCTAACGTTTCGTCACTGCTTTTCACGGGTGTGTGTTGCTGTTGCAAAACATCCGTTTGTGTTGTTGAATCCTTCATTTGCTCATCAGACTCCACAGTCTTATCTAATGATATTGGCCGTTGTAACAGGTCCTTATCTCCTTCCGATTGAGAAGGAAGGCTACTTTTTTGGCTGTCTTTCTCCTGCCGTGTATTGAGTGTATGTGCCACTAGGGTGGTATGCTCCACAAGCCTCTCGACCAAGAGCGTGAGAGAATGCACAATCAATCGACAGATGTGGTTAGAATCCTGAGACGCGCACTTAGCACCAGCCAGTAATAGCACTGTCACCAGAGTTTTCATCACCACCCGGCCACTCATGAACTGATCACACACGGCAGCTAAGCCGTTCCACTCCCGTTGCGTACAGTGCACACCCACCCGCACGAGTCCGCTGGCTATCTGTGGGAGCTCAGTTTGCCCGGCCGTGCCTTGGATCTTCTATGGACGTGTCACAATAGTGTAAAAGAACGCATTTCAATACTCTAGTTGTTGCGCGTGTGTGGTGTACAAGTAGGCCTGCTATATCAACAGACACTTGTGCCTGAACTATTGTGCGAGATAAAGAGGACCCCATACAACAATCAATACGTGACCAGAACTTTCATTGTAGAAAATTGACTGTGTACCGCAAAGAGTAGCACGCGTTGGGTATTTGGGTATACATATGGCAGCCATGCTAGTTTTAAGATTTAACATTTACGTACATATTGCGGCTGATGTCAACTTGTTCTATTTCTGGGTGGCTTTCGGCGGATCGAAAAGACTGAATTGCAAAATATACCTACACGTTACTACTTGATGATTTTTACCTGGAGTGGGTCTGTAGGCAGCAGAGTTGGGCCAGAAATAGTTCGCACGTACTGCCAGAACTGTACATCCATATCGCTGATGCTAATCATGCCCCTAAACCGCTTGTACATGGACTCCGAATTCAGCTGAGTATACCCGGACAACCAGTGGTCAGCAATGCACCTAGTAGTCCAATCTGCAAAGAAAAGGTCAATCGAGAGATGTTTTTAACAAATGAAATCTATTGTATATATATAAACACACACACACACACACACACACG